TTATTGCCGTGTTTAATAATGTAATGCTATTTTGAGAGTCATTTAAGGCCTTAATTGTATAGCAGGTGGTGTCAGCTATCATATAGATTCTGTTTTGTTTACCAAGCAATCAGGTAATTAATAAGAGGCACTTTAATGGAAACAAAAGAAAAATACAGGTTAATGGTTACAGCAAATGACAAACCCAGAGTCTGAGTGTCGAGTACTGCCAGTGAGAAGATTTTCAGATGTCAGGCCTGAAGCATCCTCGGAAGGAGTGGGAACAGGCGGCAGGAATCAGATGGCTTTTCTGGTTTGTAATTCACATGTCTCTGGTGATCCTTTTGAATGTCCCATAGAGCAGCAGGCCCACAGATTGTCTATACATGAATTTTTAGCAATTTCTCTGAAGCTGATTTCAAGTTGTCTAGCATCAGCTTTCAGGGCTTTAGGAAAAAGGGCAGTTTTTGTTTTTAATGGCTTTAAGTTAAGGGAATGAAAGAATATTGGAAACTTTTGTTTGGAGATCCATAGCCAGATATTTCAGGAAACCAGGAGAATTCAGGATCTAGTCCAGTTTATAATAAATAATATTAAAATCTAGTATCTACAGGGGCACCTGGCCGGTTCAGTCAGTAGAGCATGCAACTTCTGATCTCAGGGTTGGTAAGTTTGAGCCCATGTTGGCTGTAGAGATTATTTTAAAATCTTTAAAGAAAAATCTAATATCTACAAAGATGAGTTGTTGAAACATTTTTCTCTATAATTACTCTCATTTTTATCAAAGGTAGCTAAATCAAGACTAATTTGTTTGTAAAATAAGTCCAGTTTTAACAAACTTGGCCAAATTATTTACATAAGCTCAGCAAGAATAGTGATTGATCATATAGATGCTTTAAAATTTGCTTTGTTGAAACTTATTATAAGGAATCTCTAGATTGAACTGTTCATAATGTCTGGAGGGCTAAGTCAAATACTTGTCATCAGACTTGCCTGCAATACCTGTAGATTTGGGTGAATTCCTCTTCTCAAGATTCCCTAAGTATCCTGAGGTTCCTGCACCTGTCAGGAAGTAACATTCTTTCCTCACCTGGTGAGGCTTCTGGGAACTCTGGAAGCAAGGTATCAGCCAACAGTTCCAGGGGGCTTTATTTGCTCCATAAGCAACCTTAGTTCCTTAAAGCTCTCTGGTCATATCTGAGTCGGTGCATGTCTCTCTCAAATAGGACATTCCAGTCAAAGCCTTGGTAAAATAGCCAATGTTTCCAATGGTGTCCCATCAAAAGGAGAATCGATTCTTATTGAGTCTACACAAATGATTATAATTGCCGTGAAAGGAAGAATATTCACTGAGAGTTTCTGAACTCTAGAGGGTTTAGGTAAGGAGAAAAGCTAAATGTTTCAATTTGTCCATAAAGGAATATTTTGTCATGTTTTTGTAAGTCATAAATATCTTAAGAGATGGGGCGCCTGGGTGACTCAGTCAGTTAAGCATCTACCTTCAGCTCAGGTCATGATCCCAGAAGACTGAGCCCCATCGGGCTCCCTGCTCAGTGGAGAGCCTGCTTCTCCCTCTCCCTCTGCTTCTTCCCCTGCTTTTGCTCACTTGCTTTCTGTTGAATTAATAAATAAAATCCTTTTTTTTAAATAATAAATTAAATCTTAAAGAATAAAAAAGAGAAAACTTCTTTTTTTAAGTTTATTTATTTATTTATTTAGTAATCTCTACACCCAATGTGGGGCTCAAACTCATAAACCTCAAGAATCACATGGTTTTCTGACTGACCCAGCCAGCTACCCCAAGAAAAAACTTTAAATCTGGAAGAGCAAAGGTTAGAGAACAAGCAATGTTTCAAACAAGTCATGAAAACTGTAATTATCTTCCTCAATTCCTTCAGTCCCATGTTATTAATTCCTTTTTTTTAAAGATTTTATTTATTTATTTGATGGATAGAGATCACAAGTAAGCAGAGAGGCAGGCAGAGAAAGGGGGAAGCAGGCTTCCTGTTGAGCACAGAGTCTGATGTGGGGCTCGATCCCAGGACCCTGAGATTATGATCTGAGCCGAAAGCAAAGGCTTAACCCACCGAGCCACCCAGGCGACCCCCCCATGTTATTAATTCTTGCTCTGTTTGAATGCAGCTTTCCCATTAATTTTGGAAGTTCTTATGTAGCTTAGTTTTATGATCTTAAAGATATCAAGTACCTGTACTTGTCAAAAGTCCTTTCTATGTATCTCCTTGAAGACTAATAACTACAGGGGCGCCTGGGTGGCTCTGTCGTTATGCATCTGCCTTTGGCTCAGGTCATGCATGATCCCAGGGTCCTAGGACTGAGCCCTGCCTCAGGCTCCCTGCTTAGCTGGGAGCCTGCTTCTCCCTCTCCCTTTGCCCCTCCCTCTTCTTGTGTGCCCTCTCTCATGTCTCTCTCTGTGAAATAAATAAATAAAATCTTTTAAAAAAAGAATTACAGATGACAAAAAACTCAAAAATATACATGGTTAAAGATCTGATGACAGTTCATTAGAATGCAATTAACAGGGGTGCCTGGGTGGCTCAGTCTATTAAGCCTCTGCCTTGGCTCAGGTCATGGTCTCAGGGTCCTGGGATGGTGCTCCACATCAGGCTCTCTGCTCAGCAGGGAGCCTGCTTACCCCCTTCTCTCTGCCTGCCTCTCAGCTCTCTCTTTGTCAAATAAATAAATAAAATCTTAAAAAAAAAAGAATGCAGCTAACAAAGAAATTCAGTTATCTGTGACACTCAACACTTTAATAATTAGAAGGCCAGTAGATGACCTTATACCAGAACATATTAAAACTTTAGGAATTTCATATAATTTCTAGAACAGTTATAGCGTTTACCCAAACAAAGTGACCTGAGAAGTTTTTTTGTTTTTTTTTAGATGTATTTATTGGGGTGCCCGGGTGACTTAGTTTGTTAAGTGGTTCAGCCTCTGCCTTTGGCTCAGGTCATGATCCCAGAATTCTGGGATCCAGCCCCACGTCTGGCTCACTGCTCAAATAAATAAATAAATAAAATCTTAAAAAAGATTTATTTATTTGAGAGAGGGAGAAAGCACAGTATACCAGAGCAGGGCGGGGGTGGGTAGGGAAGTAGGAGGGAGAGGATCTCAAGGAGACTCCCCACTGAGTACAGAACCCAACATGGGGCTTGATCTCACAAACCCTGAGATCCTGACCTGAGCCAAAACCAAGAGTCAGACGCTCAACTGAGCCACCCAGGAGCCCTGTAACTTAAGAAGTTTTATCATTTTTGTTGAACTGTGCTTTCCATATAACTTAACATACCAAATAAACAAGCCTAATTGTCAAAAAGACTTCATTTACAATTCAAATCTTGGGGAAGTTTCAAAGTACATGCCTAAATAGGATTACAGATGATTATAAATTTAATATTTACATTTAACCAAGGTGGCAATAGGGATTATATAAATTATATAGTTGTTAGCAAAATTTAGCTCCTTTAACGTTGAGAAGTTCTCTTAAGTAATCAAAGACAGGATAAAGACAAAACATAGAAGCTTTGGTTTTCTGGGCTGATAAAGAAGAAGAAAACTTGACCATTTCTTATCAAGGGCAGACCAAAAGTCCAAGAAAACTTTGTTTTTTTATAACGGAGAGAAAAACAGAATTTTAATTTTATATCAGTGTAGTCTAAAAAATGTATTTATTTTTCTACCTATCTATCTATTTATTTTGGGGTGTTGGTGGAGAAGCAGAGGGAGAGATAGTCTTAAGCAGACTCAGTGCTAAGCAGGGAGCTGGAAGCAGGGCTCAGTCCCACAACCCTGAGATCATGACCTGAGCTGAAACCAAGAATTGGAGGCTTAACCAACTGAACCACTCAGGTGACCCCAGTGTACTTTTAAAATCCATTTATTTCAGTTTTAGTCTTGACCACATATAAAAATCACTTTCCAAAGATTTCCCTTCATAACCTTCTACAGCTTTCTTTTCCCTCAATAAAATGTATTCTCATTTCTTACACATTCCTTACACATTTTGTATTTCCCTGCATACAGGTTGCTTTCCTTATTTCTAGCAGTCTTCGTTACATTTAGCAGAATTTTAACTCTTAGAAATTTTAGTCTCCAGTAAGAAGTAGTAACCAATCATGAACTGTTACACTGGAATTCTTTTTTTTTTTTTAAGACTTTATTTATTTATTTGACAGAAAGAGAGAGAGAGCACAAGCAGGGGGAGTGGGAGAGGAAGAAGCAGGCTCCCCACTGAGCAGGGAGCCCGATGTGGGGCTTGATCCCAGGACCCAAGGATCATGACCTGAACCAAGGCAGATGCCCAACCACTGAGTCACCCAGGAGCTTGCACTGGAATTCTTTAGATTGGCAAATTTATAAATACATTTCCTAATTTCTAAAAACATATGTTTTCTCATAGTACAATCAGTAAAGCACAAAGCATGTTTAGAAACAGATTCAAGTATCCTTAGTTTCTCCATGGTGAGAAGCTAAAAGCATAAACATATGTTTAGCAATCAATGCTTTAGCATTTTATCTTATTTGGAGAAGATTTAGCTATACAATGAGGTATTAATCCAATTTACTTTTGTTTAACTTAGCAAAATTTTAAAGTTTTAAAAGTTACCAAAGATTTTGAAAGCTATTTAAAAGTTTTACTTATAAACCTTTTTATTTATTCAACCTACTTTTTCTATTTATTTATTTATTATTTTTATTAACATATAATGTATTATTTGCCCCAGGGGTACAGGTCTGTGAATCGTCAGGCTTACACGTTTCAAAACGCTCACCATATCACATACCCTCCCCAATGTCCATAACCCAACCACCCTCTCCATATCAACCTACTTTTTCTTAACAGTTACCCATTAAAACTTTTATGAGAGACAAAGTTAACCAACATTTTAAGCCATTTTTGCCAACAAATTGCAACAGAGATAACATGAGGTTATTTGGTCTTTAGTAAACCTTGGTAAAAAAGTTTTACATTTAATGCTGATAATTCTATAGACATGTCTATCTTTTTTTTTAATTTTAATACATTTATTTTTGTGTGACTCTTAATAAAACACTTTCAAAACATTCTGTACATTTCAAGCCACTTAGAACCGCAGTACATTCTATAAACGTGATTTGTTGGGATGAGGTGCCAAGATGTCTCTGTACAAAGATGTACAATATGTACAGTCACTATAAGTGCAAGCTGTGCAAAGCAGTCTAGAACACTAATTCATGCCAAGGCTTAGAAAACATTTCAACACTTAACACTAAAGCTCGAAACTGCGTTGTTGCTTTTTCCTGGGCAAATGATTACTTTATAAACAAATATATGTATATGTCATATAGAAAGAAGAGTTTGACTCCTCAGCTCAGTCAGCACCATGCAACTGACTGGACACATTGCAGGGCTGCTCTTCTAGGCTTCTCTCTCCAGGGCACCATTTGGCCACACTCAACAGTTGTCTCATCACTGAGCTGCTGCCGCCACTGCCTTTGACTGAACTACAGCAACATAGGAGATTTAAATTTGGGGAGATAAAGGCCACACTTGTTTTCAATGCCAGCGAAAGTGGCTGTGGCAAGTCTGTATCCACCGATGTGGTCGGGATTGGCAGGAGGAAGGTCTGCGATGAGTGACTTAGGTGTTGGTTCTGAGCCGGAGGGTTTGAGGCCTCCAAAATCAACGTAAAACCACCGCTGAAGAAGTTCATAGGAGACCAAGGTAACACCAAACTGGGGAGAAGATCGAAACACTCGAGCTGCAGTCCCCTTCCAAAATGCTGAGGGCCCCTCTTCCCGGAGTATCTTCCTGAAACAGTCAATGACGCCACTGTATGTCGTCTGGCCTGCACGGGCGGCCACTTGCAGTCTTGTCTTGATGACATCAGCGGGAGTCACCAGAGAAGCTGCAGGCACACCTGCCATGGCTCCGGCTGCAAGGAGATTCACACCTCCCACGTGTCCATTTTCATCAGCCAGAAGCAGTTTGCAATGAGCATAAACAGGAAAATAGATTGCAGAGAAGGGAATGTCTCGGAGGAAACACGCTTTGGCACCCTTATACAGACCGAAAAGCCCCAGGTCCCGGAGTACATTCAGGGCACTGACCCTGGGTCCTGTGGTGATCTCTCCAGCTACCTGCAGGCGAATCTTTACTATCTCCAGTGGATTAGTAAAGATGACTTGAGAGCCGCCAGCACAACCTCCAGCAAGGATTTCTGCTAAAAGTGGAATGGACCCATCTCTTCTGGTAAATTTGTCCCGGACAAAATCATTAACAGTCAGTTTAATGGCCTTTTCTGGAGCAACTCCTGTAAGCTGTGGTATCAGACCCTGGTAGAGTCCAAAGAAGCCCTCGTAGCACAAGACTTTCTTAAAACAGTCAAAGCTGTTTTTGTACATCAGCTCTCCAACCACAGAGCCAGTGCCGCACTGGTTTTGCATGCGGGTTTTCACCAGATCTATAGGGTATACTGCGGTGGCTCCCACGGCTCCAGCAACTGAGCCCAGAGTGAATCTATAAGCAGACTCGGCAATCTGGAGCCAGACAGGCCTGCCTAAACCATGAGATTGCTGTCTCTGAAGTTCTGCCAGGTTGTAAGGTAAGGCCCCCTCCGCCAACGGGGCTATTCTCTCAATATCTGCCAAAGTCAAGCGCCCTGTAGCATTATATAAGTCTGCAAGTTGGTAGAGGATATCAATTTCTAGTGGAGTGACCTGTCCATAGCGTATGGCACTCTGCGCAAATTCCTCTTTTGTGACTTCAACATCTTTCCTTGTGCCGGCTAGAGTGCTGTAAATCTTACGAACAAGCTCCATGTTGTTCAGTAAGGAGTTAAATGCATTGAAGTAGGAGAAGCTGACCTGATGTGATATACTTCCCCCAGCTGCTGAAACTAAGTTCTCCTCCACGAAGGGAGTAAGCATGTGAGACCGAATGGTAACCATGATGTCACTGAAATCCAAACCGGAAATCATGCCACTTTTGCTTTTGTCTTTCAGCGCAAAGGCTTGTCTTGCATGTTCCAGTTGTAGCTCCTGGAGAAACTGTGTGAATTCTGTGTAGTTAAGATGCTTCTTCCGATTATGCCCAAAATGCAGTCGGATAAATTCACAGTCCCAGTTAAAAGGGATATGATGATGAATAATAGTTTGTCCAAATATTTCTTTGACATTTTCAAATGTCACCTCTCCATTTCCACTCTTGTCAAACAATTGGAAAGCCCCTATGAACATAGAATCTGGAGCACATAAAACAGATTCAAATGCCAAGAACTCTTGATAGGAGATCAACCCATCCTTGGTTTGATCAGCTACTCCTTCCAAGAGCTGCACAATCTTCGGATTGCTATTTGGATCATTATACAGTCCAAGATAACGCTGCACAAAGTCTTCTGGGGTCATGTAATGTTCTCCATCGACCTCAGTACTGGCATACTGTAGGAATATATTTCTTAACTCATGAGGATCACCTCTCTTGGTTGTTTACACCTTGACCGCCATGCTGTGCTGGGAAGCCGGGGACGAGCGAGTCTAGACATGTCTATCTTAATTAAACAAACTTAAATTAGATTTAATACAGAATATGTTGTACCTGGGTCCACCAAAAGTCAATCAATTTGTTTCCCACCATCAATTTTACTTAGGGCACCTGTGGGGAGATTGGAAGTGGGCAGTTTAAGTCCAAGGGAACCCTTGGGCATCTTTATGCTGATTTGGAAAGTGCTTCAGTTTGAACCTCATGAGAAGTGGCCCTACAGCTTGGGTCATCTTTGCTCTTCAATAGTGAGAGTAGAAGGAGCAGGAGCCAATGACACTGGAGGCACCCAGGATGGTCTAGAAGCTGGTTGTGCAAGCCGTGCCATGGTGGTGCAGAAACAGGAGGAGGGGGAGGGGAGGCAGAAGAGGTGAGGTGAAGCCAGCAAGGCTGGAGGTGGATAAAAGCCCAGACAGAAGAAGGAAGGAGGACTCCTGGTCCCAAAGCTCATCAGCCTGGACAGATGAACAGGTGCGTGTTTTCTTTCCACAAACAATAGGTGGTCCATGTTGGGCTAGAAAAGACAGAGAATCTCCCTGAAACAAAGGGAGTTTGGCAGCGACTTGGGAATATTCCTTAAAGTCTCCATCCCAAGGTAGACTAACCACAACAATCGGCTCCAATTATCAGAGCCATTAACCCGGAAATGAATAAGGGAGAAACTGCCACGTGCAAGTGTCAGGCAACATTTATCCTGACCTCTCCAGATACATTTCAGATCCGACACACACAAAAGAAGACCCAAACAAAGAGGAGATGAGTAACTCAGGAAGAAAAGGAGGCACGTGCAGGATCTTGGCAGGAACCTGTTTACAAGAGAGACAAAAGGAGGGCACATAGAGAACATGACAGAACACAGGCAACATGGTGGATTAACGGAAGTGCAAGGGCCTGAGGAAGCTGAGCTGATAGTGGGTTGAGGAGCAGAGGGTGAGGAGATGGGTGTTCTCAGGCCCCCTAAAGGGGTATGGAAAGATCAAAATTTTGGCACAGGGCCATAACTATATGAGATTTCAGTCTATTTTTTCTGGTCAGACTTCTTCATCCTCTAGTTTATAAGGAGGTCAACAGTGTTACGAAAGAAGCCAATTCCGGAAGGAAGCCTATGAGGTGTCGGTCAAACCAGCTCCAGTTTCTCAAGGGAGTGTTGGATGGGATTAAGGATTTAGAGGAAAGATAGACAGTGACCGTCTCCTGGGCTACAGGCATTCCTGATGAACCCCAAGAGTATCGCCTTGGATAGTCTGGGCCCCAGCTGACCTCATTGGCTGGCCTAGCGTGCATCCTGAAGAGGGAACTCCCGCCCATCCTTCCTTTATATCAACATGAGTTTCCTCAGGGAGCGGCCACCTAATGGCAAGGATGGCCATCCTGTACCTGAGAAGAATACAAATACTAAAAGTACGGGTAAAACAGGGAAATTTCTGAGCCCAGTGCCGTTATGGCCATTATGGCCAGGTGGCAGGAGTTCGTCCCTTCCCGTAGTAGAGCCATGGGCAAGAGGTTCTCTCCTGAGCACTTGGACAAGGCATGTTCTGAAGGGTTGTATTATTCAGGACATGTCCGAAAAAGAATGGGGAAGAAGCAAAGACTGAGGGTAAAGAAGACTTACCAAGCTGCTCTTGGATTCACTTGGTCACTGCCATCATATGGGTCACCAAAACTCAGGTCATCAAGGACAATGGTCAAGAAAGAAGTCTTGAGATGTTTATGATGAAACCTAGTGAGTTTATTTAAGTAGCATGGAGACAGGACCCACGAGCAGAAAGAGCTTCACTGTTCGCTGTGTGAGGCTGGTGGTTACATACTTGGTAATCAAGGTAAGGGGGGCATGGAGGGAGTATCAGATTACAAACATTTCTTTGAATTTCTACTTGCAAAAATAGTTTTGCAAGATTTTTCTGGTTCTTATCATTCAGTTCAACATTAACTACTGGTCAGATATACAGGAGTCATGAGACCCTTAAAAAAATGTAGTAACCAGCACACATTTGATCCTTATTGAAACTATGTAGGCCTTAGTGTCAGCCTTCCAGACTAAGGGTAAACGTTTTCCTGCTTCTGTCCCTCATCGTAATGACCTTGTATTCATAGATAACTTGGGGGAAATTGATGTACAATATTGAGGATTCACATTGAAGTGCTTGGGGTATTTGCTTTAATGTTTATGGGCCATCAAAAACATTTGTAACCTTCTCATGGATGTGAATGTTTCTTTTCAGTATATTTCAAGTATTTTATATATTGATATTGTAAAGAGAATTTTTTGAATGATATTTTCCAACAGGCTGTTGTTGGTAAATGGCAAATCCATTACTTTTATATTTATTTTGCAATTATCTACATTTCTGAACTTAATGGAACTTTTTGTATGATATTTTCCAAGAGGCTGTTGTTGGTAAATGGCAAATCTATTACTTTTATATATTATTTTTCAATTATCTACATTTCTGAATAATACAACCCTTCAGAACAATTTTTAAGGAAGATAATCAAGTCTGCAAATAATAATACATTAATGTCTTCTTTTTCAGTGCCTATTTAGGTTTTTTAATTTTATATTATCTTATATTGGAATGACTCGAGGAAATATAAATAATATTTAATAATAGTGGTTATAGTAGGAAATTTGTCTAATTCTTGGTATCATAGGAATACTTCATCAAGTATTATGTTTGTGGTTGATTTGCAATAGACTTTCTTTAGCATAACAATCTCTCCATGTCTATGTTCTAATCTTTCTTTTTATATATATATATATATACATATATAGATAGAGGCTTGATAGTTCAGTTTTATCAAATGTCAATAATAAAAATGGTCATATGGTTTATTTCCTCTGGCCTACAAATGTGGTAAGTTTGAATATACTTTAAAATATTAAGTTATCTATGCATTCTTGGTTGGTCATGGTGTATTATTCTTTTACTATTTTATACTACATTTTTACATTCTGGATTGAGACTCTGGAAGTCTTAAAATTCCTTTTAGAATCCCTTCCTATATCCAATATGGTCCTAAACTAACCTCACAGAAAGAAAATTTTTTTTTTCCTTTGTTCTTTATCCAATATCAAAGGAAACTTCCAAATTCCAGGTTGGTCAGGCTACTAATACCTACAAATCAATTCTGATAAAACCACTTTACAATAAACAACTGTTGCTAAGTCATTACTCTCTACTAGGCATTAGATTAAGATAAATATTATTTTATTTAAGCCCCAAATTTCTCCATAATTTCCAAAGTATACTGTAGTGATAAGTCAACAAAATCTTAAACAATATCCCTATGACAAACTCTTACAGCTGTTCAAAAAACACTGTGTTTGGGGCAGGTGGCTGGCTCAATCAGTAGAGTGTGCAACTCTTGGTCTCAGGTTTGTGGGTTCAAGTCTCATATTGGATATAGAGATTACTTAAACAATAAAAAAAATCTTAAAAAAAATAACCCACTCAGGGACACCTCAGTGGCTCAGGTGGTTAAGCTGCTGCCTTTGGCTCAGGTTGTGATCCCAGAGTCCTGGGATGGAGTCCTGCATCGGGCTCCTTGCTCGGCAGGGAACCCGCTTCTCTCTCTGCCTCTGCCTGCCACTCTGCCTGCTTGTGCACCCTCTCTATCTCTCTGACAAATAAATAAATAAATAAAATCTTAAAAAAAAAGTCAATTAAAAAAAAACAACCAACCGCACTCAGCTTATGATGATAGTTTTCAAGCACACACAGAAGTAATAAGAAGAGTATAATCTTCCTATGTTCATCACAAAGCTTCAACAACTGCCAAAAATTGGCCATAATTCACTCCTCCCATTTTTATTTTTTTCTGGAGATCTTATTTTAAAACAATTTTTTAAAAAGATGTATTTATTTATTTGAGAGAATGAGAGAGAGAGATGGGAGGGGAGAAGGGACAGAGGGAGAGAGTATCCAAGCAGACTCCCACTGAGTACGGAACCTGACTCCGGGCTTGATCTCACAACCCGTGCGAACAGGACCTGGACCAAAACCAAGAGTCAGAAGCTTAACCGACTGAGCCACCAATGTGCCCGTCTGGAGATCTTTTAAAACAAATTCCAGACATTCATACCATTTCACCTATAAACTCTTCAGCATTATACCCAATTCTTACTTGAGTCCCTGCAAGCTGAGAGCATAACCACAAAGCACAATTCATCGTAAGAAGAATAAAGGTTTAGAACTGATCAAAACTCACAGTGTGTGAATGTCTGGAATTACATAATCCACAGAACTGGAAGTACTGCATACCCTTCAAGGAATCTTACATGGACTTTGTTTCACTTAACTGAGTTTTTGGTAAGAAATGGGGGGAGGGAGCAATGTTCAAAGTTATATGTTTTGGCAAAAACTTAAGAATGCAAGTTATTCTTGCTGGTGTTTAAGAGAGACCCATTAACCAACACCTGTGTAGGAAAGTTATATAGCCTATCCAGAATTCATGACACCTGGTCATTGCACAGGCATGAGCTCCTGGTAGGATTCACTAAGCTGAACTGGCTTTTATCAGAATGGTGTCTCTTAAAAGTGGGCAGCCAGAGGGAAAGAAGCCAGATAAAGAAGAGCACATCCTAATGATGTCACTTTATGAAAGTCTAGGAAATGCAAATTAATCTACAGTGTCAGTAGGAGGATCAGTGTTTGCCTGGAACGGGGGCAGGGAGGGGCAGAAGGAAAGGAATTACATAAGGGGATGAAAACTTTTGGGTTTGTCAATTATGGATTGTATTGATGGTTTCAAAGACTTTTTAGAACTGACAAAACTTATCAAAGTGCATACTTTAAATCTGTATGTCAATTATACCTTCATAAATATGTTTTTTCTAAAAAGCATAGCTGAAGGGCAGAGTGGTAGAATGCCTACAGATGCCCTTCCAGAGGTGTGTGCCTACAATCCAGGCCCAGGTCACAAGTGGAACACGAAACAAGAAGAGGCAGGAGTCTGCAAGCTGACAACGATGAGCCCGCGAGTTAAGGA